TAATATTAATAAATTCAAAATTATAGAGACTAAATTAAGAAAATTAAAAATTCAAGCATCAATATTATTGATAAAATAGAGTTAAGGGATTTAAGTATAAAAGAATATTATTTTTATGTTAGACCAGATTTTTTTTATCGAATTTCAAATTATTTATCAAATTCAGATATGATTTAATAAACATATATCATATACGATTTTGAATCCAATTCAGACACAGAAATGACTAAACATATTCAAATTTTGGACTTGTTTGATTTGATCCAAATTCCACCCATTAACCACCTTAATTTTAAATTTGGCAGTTGTAAAAAGAATTTTTCCCCTCCCCGTTATTTGTGTTTTTTGGTATTGGCTTTTTCCCTAAGTGGGATAGTTGATATTCTTGTAAAGGAATAAATTTTACTATTTTACTTTACAAAAATATAAAACATCTTTCAATATAGACTTGATAGAATTCACGTTAATTTAGATGAAATTTACGGATATTCGTATTTTAAAGAGATACAAAGTGAAAAGTTTATTAAAATAAGCAGTTTCTTAACTCCTCCTCTCTTTGTATTCCATATGTGCTTATGGTCATTTAAGTTTTTCATGTGTATGGATATTTATATTTTTATTAAAAAAGATTTAAGTTATTATGATTTAATTGAATATATAAAAATGACTTATACCATAAAAGAATATAGGAACATACAAGTCATGTAGGTAGTCCTATATAATTATGAAAAAAATAATTAATTGAATTAAATGTAATCGAATCAAGAGATTTAGTTTACATTCATTTTGGCCTCTTTTTCTTTTCCTCATGAATAAAATTTTATTCCAAAGATGGCTAGTGACTCTCGCAGATCTTGACTTGTCAAAAGAAGTTAGTCAAGTCTGTATCTTTAAATAATCAATCTCAAAAGGTAAATTACACTAAATGCTTATCAAGTGTCATGTTTTTACAATTTATCCCATAAAATAAAAAGCAAACAATTAAGCCCCCTGCGTATCTAAGCGTAACAAGGAAACATAGCTAAATAACTTAACGGTGCCCCGAATTTGGGCTTTGGTGCTTAACCCATGAATGAAATAATAACACTTGAAATCAAAACTTGTAGAATTAAATCACTTTTATTGTTTCAAGGGGTAATATAAAAATAGCATGGTAATAATGGGTTTCAGTGTAATATACCCAAATCCAAATTTATAATTATTCAAAATGGCCCCATTTGGCTTGTAATTTTTTTGTGCTTGGCTGAAGATTTGTTTCATAATTATTCTCGTGTTTGGTACTTTTATGCTTATAAGCCATACAAATATTTGAATATGCAAAAATGTTGTTCTTCTGTTTTAGTTATTGTACATAGTATAGAATTATTTAGGTATGTAAATAGGTTAGATTCGGATCAAATCAGGATGATCTGAATCCGAATCCGAAACCGATTATCAATGTATATATCCAAATCCGACCCGAAATCCTATAAGATTTCTATTTATTATTACCGTATCCAAATTTGATAAAAATTTGAAATCTGAATAAAAAATCTGATCCGAATAACAATTAACAATAATAAAATCAAATAAATAATAAGTAAAAGATATGTAAAATCAAATAAATTATTATTTATGAAATAATAAAAATTCATGTAAGATTTATGTTTAATTATTTTGCCTTTATTAAAATATAAATAAAATTCAGAAATAAATTGTTATTTATGAATAATTAAGAAGAAACTTTTGTTATATAATATATTATAAAAGTTATGATAAGATTCCAGTACTTTATAAAATTATTAAGTTTTATTTATATTATAGTTAGAACTTAAAAAATTTTATAATTAATTTATTCAAGTGTTTCATTAAATTTCAAAAGTAATTAATTATTAAATATAATATCTACTAGAAAAACTAAAATTAGGAAAAATTGAAGAATATTATAGAATAGTTTAAAAAAAATATACATTATTCTATTAAATAAAATATCTCACAAATACAAATTAGTACATTATTAATTATAATGTCATATATATTACATTATATATAAAAGTATTTATTAATATATATATATATGATTATTAATTAAAAAAATATTTTTAAAAATTCAAATTCGGCTTTTTAACAGATTGAATTACTTAATTCCATATCCAGTGCACTTATTTCAGATTACAGATATTTATAATCGAATTTAATTCACCGGACATTTTTATCGATTAAAGAGCCTAAAATTTGGATCGAATTCGAATCGGATTCGAATTAAAATCCAATCTATTGATAGCCCTAAAATCATCTTTTATACAGAGAGCCCCTAGCCCATCTTGGGTATTTTAAAGAGTCGATCTAGAGTGTACAGAATCATTATGAGTATTGCAACAAAGTGCTGGCAAGAGCACCATGACGCCGAAGAGATAAATAGCTCTTGGGTTCAATACCATATTTAGTCGGATGAGCAAAAGGGGCAAAGTAATGAAAGAGAGCTATATTGGAGAAAACTAAGTAAAATGTATTGGGATGGAAATCTCACACATGAAATATCATATTTATAGTATGAGTCGAGAGGGCTTGGGAAGAGAAGAGCTGCTTGTTTTTCTTCCACTGTGGGCGTTAGCGACTAGATGATCTGAAGAAAAGAAATAGTCACCTCAACTTAAAAACTTACAAAAAGACAATTAAAAAAAGCAGTCACTTTTCTTGACCCCCGCAGCCACTTCATATTCTTATCCATGGACCTTTTCTTTGCCACGCTGTGGGAAACGGTCTGAGAAAATCATGTTACAGGAATTAGCCCATAAACTGAAGTTACAGTCCCATCCCAGAGCACGCCTGTTTACTATTCCTGTAATAGAGCAAACTTATTTAAACAATAAAGTAAATTTCTTTGTTTGGGCCTGACTTAATCAAATAAATGAGGTAAGCCAACGTACTAGACCACGAGCAACTCACGAAAATAGTTTGCATCGCTAACCATATGTAGACATTTTTTAAGTTGTCAATAATAGCAATTTATAATGTTGACTCTAAAATTTAAATTTGAAAGATTTTAATTTGGAAATTATGTCAAAATGTTATTAGAAAATTCATTTCTCTATTTTTGAGTGTGAAATGAAAACTATTTTTCCTTTCCTAAGTAATTGTTATTTGTTTTGGCAGAAATTAATATATAGTATATACATACTATAATGCAAAAGACACCTTAGAAAATATTTATTTTAATTCCTTTATCCCTATTGCTAAAGTCAATTGCATCTATCTTATATCCCTGTGCTTCTATCACTCGCCTAGGAGGAGCGTTGTATTACAACGGATTTTGACTTAGAAACCTAATCACATTTGTTAATTGGTCTAAGGCGTCTGATTTTGCAGTCAAACACCCAAGCGGGATAAGGAACTGGGAAGGAAGAGTCAAAGATTTACAACCTATGTATTATTGCACATAAAGAAAACGTACAGTTTTTATGACAACCTATTAAATAAAATAAACAAATAATCATTCTCTCAATATGTTTAATTTTTAAATAACATATTTAATGATTAAAATTTAATGTGATATCAGAATTAATAAAATATCTTAACCCCAAATTTTAAAATTTTCACGTAATCTATTTATGAATAAAAAACTTAAAAATAACTTCATTTTCTCCAAAGTTAAATTATTAACTAAAATAATGATGACCCGTTTGTTATAAATTAATAATCAATACAGCTAGGATTGCACTGTAATAAAAGGACGTAGTCTTCTGAAAACCACATCTAGAAAATAACATTTTTTTTCAAACTTGATTAAGTAGTTGGAAAAGTATGAAAGCAGACTATCCATACATACGTATGTACATATTTATTAACGCGATTAATATTATTTCATAATCGATAAGTTGGCTTAATTTATTAGTTTTGAAGGAGTCAAAGCAAACCAAAATAACTCATGAAAAAAAAAATAAAACCAAAATAGCCCATAAAAAACTAAATAATTAAATATATTAAAAATGGCAACATCGGCATTATTTCTTGCGGAGGCTACTCACCAAATTAACAATGCATGTGTCAAAAGAAACCAAGAAATTGTGTAACATCAAGCCAAACACCATATTTAACTAATGAAATTGTGTAACAACAAATAAATTTTTTCAAAAAAATATATGATATATAGCATCACTCAATCAAATGTTTAATTTATAACAAAAATTTAATTAAAAAAATTAATTAAAAATAAATGCCATAAATCACGTGGAATAAGAACAAACTAAAATATATGTTTTTCATGTAATTATATATTTGAATGAAAAATACCATTCAACTCGAAAGTAATAGTCTAAAAAAGTGGGATTGTAAACCATTGCCCTATTTCAATTAAAACGGCTACTTTTCCTTCTTATTCAATATTTTTATAGCTTTCTGCATTGTGGTTTTTCATTTGTGATAAATCACGCGTGAGCTATTAGCTAGGTTGCCTAGACAATTAGCCTGCCGTGTGCCAAAACAATTTATGAGGGTGTTTGGAAATATTATATAAAATGAATTCAACAAGGACAAAATTATCCGAGTTGGAAAAGTGAGCCCGTGGTACCACAAACACCGTCCAATACTACCTGCGTATTGATTTTCCCATGTGTTAAGGAAATCGATTTTCCCATTACGATAAGGATAGAATCCAGCTTCAAGAGATGCAAAAAGATGAGACAGAGGGTTAGCAAAAAACTCAATGTTTCCACAGTTTCAACGTTTTCGGGCAATACGATGCGAACAGAAACGGTCAATAATGTGAAATGGTTTTAAGAGGTCAGCAAAAATGCCCTTCTTCTTGTAAAAAAATCCCTAACCTGAAGTTTCAAACGCCCTACAGTAGAAGGAAAAACAAGCGGCATTTTATTCACCCCCCATGCCCGCTTGACTCCCACTATAAATATGGGATTTCATTTGAGCTTATTCTCATCCCAAACATTTTCCTTCCTCAGTTCATACATCAATATCTCTCTTCCTCCCTGAAAAAACATAAAACCCAAAACACAAAAACAAAAATGGGTTTTACCCCGACTGAGCTATTTATCTGTTCTTTGTGTCATGGCACTGCTGCCCGCACTTGGCTACTGTACTTTGTATCTTCCAGGGCAACCTTCTACAACACCAGCGATGGCCTAGGGACTCCAAGTATGTATATTTGAAGTTTCCTTTTATATACACAGATATACGGAAGAACTGCTCATTATTATGTGTGTTATTGTGTTTCTAAATCAACAATTAGTTCAGCCTTTTCTTTATCTATCTATCTATTTATTTATTCTGATATGTGCTTAGTGATATTAAATTAGCCGGAGCTTGTGGGTATCTTGAATATGGAAGAACCATCAATTATGCTAAAGTCACTGGAGTTTCTAGTGCACTGTACAGGGGTGGACTTGGCTGCGGAGCTTGTTATCAGGTAGTTCAAGTTCAACCTAAAAATTACAAAATCACTTCTTTTCATTTTATTTATTTTTCTATCATTTGCATAACTACAGGTTAGGTGCAAGTTGCCGAGTCTTTGCACTACAAGTGGCGTGACCGTAGTAGTGACAGATTATGGGGAAGGGGACAGAACTGATTTCATATTAAGCAACCGTGGCTACACTGGAATGGCTCGTGCCGGTGCAGTTAATAAGTTGGTTTCTTACGGTGTAGTACCCGTAGAATACCAAAGAGTTTCTTGCCAGTACCCAGGTAACAATATCAAGGTTAAGGTTCTCGAATCCAGCAGGTTCCCCGACTATCTAGCCCTAACCTTCTTGTACGTTGGTGGCAAAAATGATATTACTGATGTCCAAGTCTGGCAGGTAAAATTTATGCGAACAATTTGATAAACTAGGCAATTATAAATTTGTAAAAGGTAATTTTCAATGAATTTGTTTTTTAAACGCAGCCCCATTCGCATCAGTGGACTGGGATGAGACGGTCCTATGGTGCAGTATGGGACTTACCTAACCCACCAACAGGTCCTATTACAATCCGGATCTATGTAACGGGCAGTGCAGGAAATGAGTGGGTGAAGCTGAACGGTGTGATTCCTCGCAGATGGAGGGTTGGTGCTGCTTACGACACTGGCCTTCAGCTTTCTTGAATTATCAACCCTTTAAGATCTCAGCATATGGAGCTGTATGTCAAAGTTGAATCTGCTTATTGAGCGTATTAATAACTAAAATAAGGTGTTTTCTACCATTGCAGAGCCAATGCTAGCTCTTAAATTAAGTACTTCATAAATAAAGATTGCTGTGTACTGTGTTATGAGGAACAGCAGAGGAAGAATAAATGTTTGGCTTATTGAAATATGGAGATACAGGTTTTGCAATCAAGGGAATCCTTAAGTTTTATTTTCAATTTAACTTTCTTCACCTTATAGTCGCATAAGAAAAAAGGAAACAAAGGACAGTCTTGGCACTTCTCTTTTTCTTTTCCTGCGGTATCCAGATCTAGCTCTCTTCAGCCAATTGCGAAGACGGAACTAGAAATTTTAGAAAGGGATCTAAACAGTAATTAGCTTTAAATTAAGGAGGAAAACGAAATTTGAAACACTCACATGGAACAATTTCTTCAACGTGATATGAACAGCACTAGAGACACAATTTGTAATGGAAATAAACCACCACCTTGAATGAAACTTCCGAAATTTCCACACAAAGATTTATTGAATAAAAACTTTTATTCTTATTCTGTTCTCTGGGCATATTGTACACGATCATAGTCCTTTTTGAGAAGGCTAAATAGCTAGCCTCTGACATCATGACATACACAAATTTGACATATAAGCAAAGATTACTAGGAATAAATAGCATAACTAGAAGCAAGCTCCTGCTGTAGATAGATGGAGGAATTGAAGCATATCAAGCTTAAGTAAGTTGAATGGCAGTGTCATAAACCAGCCCAGCCTTCCATTCACTAGCAACCACGTTATTCATCTGCAACCACTTCACCCCTGCACTTCCACTCACTTGCATCCTGAATGTGAGTGCACCTTTTGGAGGATTAGCGCAGTCCCATACTGCTCCATAGGCCCTTCTCATACTCCTCCACCGCTGGGTCTCAGCCTGCATCACGAATAAAATATATAAGCACCTTAAATTATTTTAGATTTCATATTTGTGGATTTCTCTTTTTTTTTTTTTTTTTTTTTACGATAAGCCCTTTCTAAATATTAAAAAAAGACCTCAGTGCTTTTGCACTACTTTAAACCAGTGATTGAAAAACCGGACCAAACCGGCATGTTTGACCGGTTTAACTGGGTGTTGACCATAATTTCAGTCCAGTTATATGTTTAAACTCATTTGTTTACTAAACTGGTGCCCAATGGCTTTAACGGGTAAGTAGCTGGAAACCGGCCAACCGGTTTCGACATATATTTTAATGTACCTCACCTGCTGGACTTGTAGCACTTCACATTTCTACCTAACCAAATTTTAATACGTTGACAAGTCAATCCAAGGAATAAACTTTATCCAACTAATTTAAAATTCATTCAAACCAATTTGAAATTTCCAAGGCATTGACAAGTCAACCCAAGAAATGAATTTTATTTTGAAAAAAAATGTGGAACCCTCCTAACCCTGTAAAGTCACAAGAAAAATTAAAAATATGATTTGTTGATGAAATTTATTATTTGATATTTTAAAATTTGTTTAATTGATGCCATGGGTCTATTTTGATCTAATTTTTGGTTTTGGTCGGTATATCAATTTATGAAGTATTCTAATCAATAAAATAGCTTATAATTTTATGTCTCTAGCTAAAAAACTGTAGTTGATGAATTGTCTCCATTGTGCAATTATTTAATTAAATATATTCAAAACATGGAATTTGCCAAATTATTAGAGATTTCTCCTTTTTCTCTAGAAATTTGCCAATAAACCCACAAGCAAAATTTTTTTATTTCAAAACTTAATTAAAATCTCCTAAATTTGATGATTTTAATGAATATATAAATTATTATTGCGGGGTAAAACTCAAGAAAAATATTCATATGAATTGCTTAAATTTTTATTTTAAATATTTTTTAAAATTTTCTATGTTAATAATACTTATATATATATAAATACGTTTATATAATATTAAATATAATTCTGATTCACTATTATTTTTGACAATCAAGTCTCCTGTCCACTTAATATGTCGCAATCAAAATCTCCGATATATTTCCGGACAAAACTGAAATGAAAATTTGGCAAAAAGGGCTACGTCAGTGCTAGCTGTACTGCTGAAGCTGCTATTCGAACAAGGCAGTATCTAGTATTAAACGAATCTCAAAATACAAACTCACCTCGCAGACTTCAACTGCGGTGATGTCGTTTTCGCCAGCTTGGAACAAGACAACTATGGCTAGGTAATGGGGAAACTTGCTGTGCTCATGAACCTTGACCATGAGGTTCTTACCAGGGTATGGCAAGGGACTCTCTTATATTCTACGTCAACCACACCATAGGCGAACAGCTGAACTGCTGCGTTCGGAAGTGCCAGTCTTCCATAAGCACGAGCACTCAGAATGAAGTCTGTCCCATGCCCTTCACCGTAGTCTGTCACCACCACAATCACTCCATCTTGACTGCACTCTGGCGCCTTGCACCTAACCTGCAGTTTTCCAAAAGTAGTCATTAATTCTCTCTCTCTCTCTCTCTCTCCGTGCAAAAAGCCACGGCTATTTTAAAATTTGACTACAACATTGTTATATAATTTAATGGAATTATTTTTAGTTTTTGACAATTTAAGGATGTTTGGTAGCATCTAATAACAAAATTTAATTATTTATAATTTAAAAAAGTTATATTTTCTTTTGTGATGGCAAAAACACTGAAATATCTAAATTAACATAAATGGACTCGTGGATAGATGAATAATTTATTTAATTATTTTTGGGAAGGATATAGCATGAAGTTGAATGACCTTATAGCAAGCACCACAGCCACTTCCATTCTTGTATAGCTTAGAAACTCCAGCTACATTGGCATCATTTATGGTTCTTCCATATTCGCCAAACCCGCAAGCACCAGCTGATTTAACATCATTAAACAAACACATAGGGTTACAGCGCAATATATATGTTGTTGATGTAGAAAATGTGATAAATTAAGTGCAAAAATAGACATACTTGGATTCCCTAAGCATTCAGGGCTTCCATAAAAGTTGCTCTAGAGGACACATAAGCGTCCTGCGAATAAGCAAGTGCTGGCAGAAGCAGAATGACACAGAGACTAAAGCCATAGCTCTTCCCTGAAGAAACCATTTTCGTTTTACCGACAAATTTCTGAAAGGAGCTGTTGTCTAAGAAGATGACAAGTGATGAGAATATTTTGGGATGAGAAGCTCATTATGAAGTTCCACATTTATAGTTGAAGTATTGGGAGAGTTGGATGAGATAATTCCCACTTTATCCTTCCACTAGGTGACGTGGGAATACAAGTGGAAGTCAGGTATTAAATTGGAGGAAAATGAAAATGACTTCTTGTTTTGACTTCTTATGGGCACAGCAAATTGGAAATTTACTATTTTCGTATCTTAGCGTTGCTATTTTTATTTTTCTTTATTTGTTATTACTATTATTATTTGTTTTATTTCTTGCTTGTATGGTGGGGTGGGGGATGAAAGTCCTCCATACCAGACCATTTGGAGCTGCTGGCAATTTCGACATAGTACCGAAGAAGAGTTCATTTTTCGTAGGAGAACTGCTTCCCCACTAATATTTGTCCCCCATTTTAGCTAAACATAATTCGGTGAAATTAGTTAATCATACAAATAAGGCTGATATAAGTTTTTTTCTTTGTCCATTTTTTTTGTCCAGCAAGAGGGAAGAGGATGGTTTGATTAAAGTTTGAACTTTCAACTTTGGTAATTACTGTTCGGGCCAATTTAGTCCTTATTTAAGGATTTTGGAACTTTTGGATCTTATGTGCTGATTCCAAAGATGAAGTTATGTATGAGTGCGCGCGCTCTTTCTCTATAAGTCATAATTTTACTAGATTTACATTTATATAATGAGATAATAAGGATTGTATGATTTATAGATATTTATATTCTATAATTTTTCCCTTCACAATTTTTTAAAATGTTAATCTAATTAATTGCTTAATTATTGGACATTTGGATTATTCATCTATTAGTCTTAAATTGGATTGCAAACTGAATATTATTATGATTTCGATTTGTATTTTAGATATGAGAATACTTACTTGTCTTATTAACTTAAATTTATATTTAGGTTTTATATTTTCAGTCCAATTATTTATTTTAATTCATATTATTTATAATTCAGTGTATTTAGCTATTTATTGAAAAATAAAATAAATTATGTAATCTAAAAAAAAGAATAAACTAGCAAAAAAAAATTCAAAAAAAATCCTTGGATCCCCACAAGGAAGTGGGAGAAGATTTCCCGACCCGAATTTGGATAAATTCACCCTCCCCCCTCCGGATGAGATTCGCAGATCGGGGTCAGGAGAGGACTCCTTTCCCTTTGTCTCTATGCCATCCCTAAGCATCTTACTCAATTGGGGCAAATAATAAGCTCCCTAATAAGTCAGTTTTAGGTTAATAAAAAATAACTTTATCAATTTGGCTCCCCAAGACGAACTCGTCAAATTCAAAATAATAAATTGGCTTAGAGATATAATAAAGAAGTAAATGTAAAAGGAAAGAATGAAAGGAAAGGAAAAAAAAAAAGATATATTTAATGAACAGGTAATTAACCCACTTGACACATGTAACAAGATGACATAATAAGTGGAAAAACTCTAACTAATATATTTTGGAAAAGATAGTGGAAGTCAATTACCTTTCCATATTAGTGTGAATTAGGAATGCCACTTTGAAGAGTTTTCTTTTTGGCTTATTTTCTACTCACCTTCCATGCAGGTTTTGTGTGGCCATGAACAATTAAAACAAATGGAAATTTTGAATTGATGAATTTGAAATAGAATCCATGTTTTAAAACACATAGTAGTTATCAAATCGCTAAATCATTTGGCATGGTTAAATAATAAAAATTATTTTAAAATATATAAAATAAATAATATATTATTTAATTATAAAATAATAATATTTTTTATTTTGTAATAAATATAATATAAATTAAATAAATTTAAAATATAAATATTAAAAAAATTTAATAAATATATTATTTTAAATCAATTAAATGAGTTTTAGCAAACCAATTTACACTGACTGCTTTACTTATTTTTAACTAATTATAACTCTAATTTTAATTTAAAAAGTTTATCTGAATTGTTATAATCAAATCAATCAAACTGACTAGTCCAGTTTAAGATTTGAAACATGGCAAGGAATTGCTGTCGGCAGGTACTCTCTTCAGATGCACATCCTAATCAATCAGCAATCAACAGCATCTTTTAAAGCAACGTATACGTGTATACATGTATATTTGATTACTGATTGTAACGCACTAACTGCGCCAATATCCCCTAATCACTGAGACAGTCAAATTTTTGGGACGCATGGGTCACCTGGAGTCAACCCGCAAAGGATGTAATCCATAAAAAGGAGGAGAAAATTGTAGTTTTATACCCACTTTTTTTTTCAAATTTTAAAAAGGCTAAAAGAAAAGACGTGGTATATACACCTTTTATGTCATGATGGGGAGTAGGTGAATTCTAGTCCAGGTTGGCCATCTGTACTTTTCCCTTTCCTTTTAAATAGTTTTTGGGTCACCAAGTATCCCCGTAATTCATTCTTCCAGAATTATGACTCCTAAAATCTAGATAATGCAGACAGGTGTGATATCTAAAGTTGGGATATTGATGGAAGGGCAAAATGTAAAGCGACATAGTGTACATTCAACTGCCACTTGTATTGCTTTCTGGATGCCGTTTTGTCTAATTTCTGGGAGGGAAGAGAGAGAAGCAGCTTTTGGAAAAGCTATGAACAGCACAAGCAATAGCTTTTCCAGAATGCGGCACACCCCAGAGTCAAATGTATCAGCCCACGGCAAACAGGTTGACTAATAAGTACTGGAATAGAAAGGCGAGTTAGTTCTTGTCGGACCTAAAACAAGAAAAAGGAAACTTTTAGGGGCGTTCGGAAGACAAAAAACTTCGAGTGCAGAGATTTAAAAACTCAGGATTTTTTGGATTGTTGCGCACACAAGACCTTTTAAATTTTTAAATTTAGAGTTTTGGGGTTTTCATAATAATATTGGACTCTCAAAACTTATTAAAATAGTAATTTTTGCAAAAATTTCAATTGAGGGTTTTGGATTTTTAAAATTTCAATACACAAAAAATTCTAACACAAAACATTTTGAATTTTCAAAATTCTTGATTTTTTAAGAAAAATTAAAGTTTTGGATTTTAAAAATCTTTAAACTTTTTGTCTTTCGAAAGAAAAAATTCTGAATTCTAAAAACCCTCATGCTATTACACTTGGGATATTTGAAAATTAATTAATCATGTTTAAAGTCTAAAATTAAGTTAATGTGATCATAAAAGTTCAAAACAAAATTATCATTTTTACGGACATTGATCCATCAAACCAATTGATTTCTTTCTAATTCTTTCTTTTAATTTTTTTTCCTTTCGAAAACAAGACTCCATTGATTAAAATGACTATTACAGTGAGGAAGCTTTTCAGTAATGCAGAAACCGGTCCTTTCTCTCATTCTTGGTTCTTGCTTGGGTTTGCAGGTATTGGTGGAAGATGTCGTTTCTTCTGGTGGCAGTGGGCTCGCATCGGAGGTTCCGAGTGCCAGGACTCACTAGTTGCCGTTGGCCGGTCTGCTCTGTTACCTGTGATGGAATTTCTGCATAGATTTAAGATGTAGCCCAGATGCTTCTTTAGAATAGCTTCGGCTCAAATCATTAATAAGATCCATATGCTTAAGTAAAATTTAACCTTCAAGGTCTAATAGATTGATGAACCATGAGCTGGCAGTGTGTACATAAAAATATTTATTAATTGGTGCAAGTTGCGACAGTTGACCAGAAATATCTATATAATTAATTAATAGCAATTTGTATAATTCTTTCCATGGCTAATTCCCGGCAATTCCTTGTGTAAAAAGTTGACATCACTTGAATGAATTAATCTTGTTAGCCAAATCCATTGATAATAAATAAAATATAAATAATGACCTGCTCAAACATATTTAAGGACTTGGGCTTCGTTCATTAATTTGAACAGTAATAATTTATTTAAATATAAGTTCCTTAATCCCGCAAGATTTGGTGAACTTCTCATCATGGTTTGATCCATTAACTGACAAGTGGTTATTAAAGCTACTTGTAAGATTATGTTTTGAAATAAAAATATATTTATTCTTTAAAAAATGAACATTTCAATTGTGTTTATAATAAGAAATCAAAATGTCATTTTTACACACACATACAGATACATATATGAATTGAAATTAAAAAGCTTTATTACTATTATTACAATCACACAATTCATGAGAAATTCGCATGTTTGAATGTAAGAGTTAATAATTACACAACGTGGAAGACTTTGGACACCTTGCGCTAGACCAACTGAAACCATAATCCTATTATGTACCCTGACCAATAAGGTCCACCTCCCACCCAAATTCCTATTATATATGTATGTGAAATTAACTTGACTTCCTATTCATCTTTTAACCATCAGGTTAGTCACCATTTATCTCGACAAGTTAAGTCGATTCAAGTTAATATTTTCCTCGTTCATTAACTATTTTAAGCTTTAAAATTCATAATTCCTAAAAAATTCAGTACAGCTTACTTGATGCTTATAAAATGCTATTCTTTCTCCCTCCAGGCTGCATCAAAATCCCAGTCGGTCTTCATTCTTTCCTTGATTTAAGAAGCCTAATGCAATCACATCTTCAGACATCGAACTCCGGTCTTCAACCTGGATGCCCCATCTACGCTGGAACAAGCTCAACAAACACTGAAGGGGGTCGCTCCAGCTGGAGACATTGAGGCCTTGTACGCGTCAATAAATCGCTTTCCAGATATTCTGGATTATATTGGTAGTAAGTCTTTTGTTGACACTCTTTTAAACGCAACTGCCTCTCTGCCCGGACACTACAAAAACAAATAGTAAAAAACGGCGGTTGAAAATGAAAAAAATGACCGTTAAGAACTGCTATTTTTTACAGTTACGGCAGTAAATAAAATCGCTGAAATCCCATACGTCATTAAATATAATATAGTAGTTGAAGGTTAACTGTCACTTTAACCACTATAATTTACAGCAGTTTAATTACGACAGTTCAAACTACCGTAATTTACAGCAGTTTAATTTCAGCAGTTTCATTGCTGTAAATTACAGTGGTTCAAACTGTCATAATTTACAGCAGTTCTACTGCTATAAATTATGGCGGTTCAAACCGCCATAATTTACGATAGTTTAATTACGGCGGTTCCACTACTATAAATTACGGCAGTTCAACTGCTGTAAATTACTGCAATTCAATTACAACAGTTTTTAACCGCTCTTTTTTTCAGTTAATTTTTTTGGTAAATTATAGCGATTTTCATTATAAATTACGGCAATTTTAATATAAATTATGGTAGTTTTAATATAAATTATGGTGTTTTCTAGTATAAATCATTGCAAAAATTGTTTATAAATTATGACAATTTTAATTGTAAATTATGATAAGTTTTTACTATATTATAATAAAATACTACTTTTTTTTTTGCTCTTTTACTACAATTTTTTAC